TTAGGATATGGGGGAAAAAAGCATGCAGCATTAGTAAATTTGATTGATGAATATGCAGCTGGTTTCTTGGTCTTTCAGACAGTTTTAATTATTTTGTGATTTCAATTTGATTGATTGCCGCAAATGGGCCAAGGATTTGTTTGTTGGCCAAGCGTTAATTTCAATTTCAATACGCATCAAAACACACGCAAATGCTTAATTGGGGATCAAGTTCAAGTTCAAAATGGGGTAATGAGTGGCTGGTGCAATGGAAAAAAAGGTAAAGGCAGCAAAAGAGTACAAACAAAATAATGCTATCGTTTGAGCACGAGTATAGTACGCACCGATTGGCCGAGTTCATGCCGTCCTTCATCATGCCGCTGATTTTACGCTCCCCAGTCCGTGTGTAGTCCCCCTGCGGAGCATATCACAAATGCATTTAAATGGATTTCTTTTTCGATTTATGGATCTTCACCTTCAGGGCATTGGTACCGGCATACTGTCTGCTTATGATGTCGCCATTGTTGGCCCACAGCACCATGAACGGGGACTTCAGCTGCTCGGGTATGGGCGTGTACGGCGGCGAGATACCCAGTTTGACAAGCTGCGACTCCAGCACCGCCTTGCCAATGGCCGTTTGCACCACATTGGTGCGATCCAAGCAATCCATGCAGTTCACACGAAACACTGATTTCTGATTGCAGATCATGCCGCGCTGATCGCGCCAGTGGAAGCCCATGGCGCCTGCCTCAGGGCCGACGGCATCAATCAGCGCCGAGACATTCTCGAAGCGCATGCCGCGGCTGCCACACAAACAAAAAGTAAGCGGTTAAGCGATCAACTGCATGGCACACGAGCATATCTTACCAGTAGTCGTGAAAGTCGAAAGTCACATAGATCATCAGCTCGTTGTTGTATTTAATCACATGATCGGCATAGGCATCTCCAATGAGCTTCTCCTTGCCACTTTGCTCCACCAGATTAACGATGCAGACGCGGCCATAGGTCTCTAGCTCTTTGGTGAAATGCAGCTCAAAGGCTTGCTGGGTTTCGGCCACACCACGATCAAGGCGTGCCGGTGGCCGGTACTTGTAGCCGGGCTGGCTCCAATAGATAGGCACGGAACCGCGGACCTGCGTAAACGACAATTGATGGTGGCGGAAGGAGAGTATTTGCTCGGTCTCCACATAATTGGCACAGTTCCCTTTCTCATCCACGCCCCGTCGCTTGTAGCTGTATGGAATATACATCAGTCATGAACGATTGAACGATTGAGTGAATGATTGAATGGTTATTACCGTGTTCCCGCCCGATGACGCGAGCGTCGCGACACCAAGGCCAGTGTGAAACACTCATTGCCAATGACACACGGCTCCACCTGCACAAATCCCTGAATGATGGGCAGTATCCATGTTTTATCCTGAAGGAAACGAAAAGTCCTTTGAAACTCATTTCGTTATAAACATATTCGTACTTGTCTTACATTCATTTTGAGTATGTCCTGGATCATGTGCATGTTCCAGAAGAACCTCTCGTCCGGCTGCGGTTGGCTCTCCTCCATTTTGGCCTCATGGCGCTGCAGATTGTTGGTTATATCGCAATCGAAACTGAAGTAAAAGCTGTCCGTGTCATCGAAGATCTTGTGCAGCTCCTCGGTGATCCGTCGCTCGATGTGCTTCGGCTCCCGTATGCCCACAGAGGACTTGACCTGCTTGGTGGCCAAATTGGCCGCCTGCTGTGTGGTGTTCTTGATGGTGTTCCCAGCACTCTTCACAGCGCCCCAGGTTTTATTCATGCCTTCGAAGAGCTTGGTGCTCTTCGAGGAACCGCCGCCAATGCCACCGCCGCTCCCAGCACCCGACGAGACGCTTGCATTGTTATTCTGCGCCGCTGCGGAGGCGCTGCTGTGAGTGGGCGTGGACTGGTTGCTTCTGCAATTAGTTATTAAATATTGTGTGATAAATGTGGATGGGATGTCACTTACTTGGCATGCTTGGTGCAGTTGGGCAAGTCAGTGTCTGGCTCCTCGGTACTCAGTATGCAAATGGACTTGATCTTGTACACCAAATGCGGTGGATAGAGCACGCCCACGGCAGTCGCCTCCTTGACCACGACCAAGTGCGGATCGTAGACATTCGGCAGCGAGATGACGCCAACAATTCCATGCGTTACTCCAATGCATTCAATGTCATCCACGGAGCTGAGATCCCATCCTACAACGGGGAAAAGAATGGTGTGTGAGTGCCAACAATCAGTAAAATCGAATTGTCGCTGTCTAATGGCAATGACCGCTTTATGCTTGTTAGCTTTTATTGGTATTTGATTAGCTGTGGGCCACGTTTACGCCCCCTTTGTGTGCGACAATCTACAGTTACTGTTACTGGTCACTGGAGGCAAGAATCATAAGCACAGTAAACACAAATAACTAATAACGAGGCAAGGACAAAGTCAATATCCCCACCCAAGGAACTGCCCGAGTGGTTGGGACTGCACGTAAGTACGTGTTTGCGTGCTTCCACGGGCCTGCCCTGCTCATTACTGAAACACGCAACCGAACACTTTTGCAGCCACGAAAAGAAAGTGGGCGGGAAAGTGCACTTTGCGGGCCACCCACATGAAAATCCTTGGGCATTCGACGGCTCTGCTCTCCATGGCAGGGCTCTAAAAATTGCCTACATGCCCTTTAAAGTGTTACGGTTCTTCTATCTTATCATACGGATAAGGTTTATCTGGTTTTTAGAGGGAGATAGGGCCGGTAACTGTCTGAATAAAACCAAATTTGGTTGAAAACATTTTGCCGTAGCCAAAAAATCAATAGCAAAAGATAGTTGGGGACTACTAAATAATAAATTATGTCAAGACAGCCACATTTCGTCGTGGTGTCGATAAAACATTTTCGGGAAAAAGCGAAAACTGAAGCGTTGACCTTGACAAAGATTTATGGGTTGTATGTTCTAGAGACAAAGGAACGGGGATAGGATTGGGAATAGTAGGGTAGGGGATCCAAGAACCCATAGACACGCTTTGCAACAGCAGTTCTGGGAAGTGTAATCAAAACGTGAATTAAATGCAACACGCGCGACAGAGTTGCGTGCCAGAGAAATGGATCCAAACTGTAATTACGGGACAATAAACAAGCAATTAGCGGGAAGAGTCCTGTCCACGGCACACTTTTTAAAGGGTATTAACAGAGACTGTCAATAAAAAGGCACTGGCTGCGGTTGGGCGGAAAAGTGGGTGGAAAAACCTTTACAGCCAACAAGTCTGATGGAGATTGTGGAGAAATGTATTTATAGAACGCAGTGAGCGGATGATAAATATACTGCGTTAGAAGCTGCGGCCCCATTAACGCCAAATACGAGATAAAAGTATCGCATATACATATGTAGGAGATATATACTATATTCGGATTACAGGAAACGTTTGCGTGTTTAATCATCCACTCAAACATTGAGTCACTTAGAGCCCAAAGCAGAGGCGACTATGAATCCTAGAGTCAGCCCCACCGCAGCCTTGACATTGACTAAAATCTATAGCATTGCATTCTTCTCAACGACAAATCAAATGCACCGCGAAGGCAGCTGCACTGCTGATTCAACACAATTTATACGTCGGCCAGTCACCATTATCAAGTTTCTGTGGCTTTCAATTGATTCAATAATAAGTATTAATGAAACAATGTATGCCTAATTTCTACAATGAACATTTATTATTACCCGCTTTGATTGCAAACTCCGACGTCTTGCGATTCCACCACAAGCTCTTGTCGCGCTTCACGAATATGTAGTGCGAATCGGTCTGGAACACCTCCATGCTTGGCCGAGTATTTTTCTATTTTATTTGTGACATTATTTTTCCACTTAATTGTTTACGAAATACGACCAGTGTTGCCGCGCACTTATGGATCAAATATACCTCAGAAATACACCAAAATATACCGTCTCATTTAACAAAAAAAAACGATGAAAAACGAGCATAGCCCACCCAAGCCCCCTTTATTTAAACAAGAATAACAACTTGAGCTAAGCCGCGGAATATAAAAATAATAATATAGATAATAATAATTACCCCTGTAGGTCCCATCAATATTTTATTTTTGACTAGAAAAAGACCACGACAACTTTCACCTGAACTTCGCTAAAAATTTTTCAATATTCATAATTTTCTTGGTATTAAAATACGTATAGGCCGACAAAGGGTTAATGTCCTCTGTCCGTGATCGGAAGCCAAATTCATCAATTTTGATATTCGATTTGATATAATTAGCTAGACAGAACCATCAGCCATGCCCACATATTTTTATCCGATTAATGAATCAATTTTCTTTTTGACTGGCTTGTTTTAAATACGTGATTTTATTGAGTTGTGTCTAAAACCCAGGGTTTACGGAAAAAGGTCAAACAAATAAAAAATAAGAGGGTAATCGTTCCTATTGCTCAATTTTGATATTCCGTTGATTAATGCTGGCTAAATATTAATACTATTGATTGGGGCTATACATGTCCATCATTGTTTATTCTTGTCCGGCATGGGGCAAGACAACTTTTGTATTCGCAGCTGACAAAACCAACTCTTTTAGCAGGAGATCTTCCAAAAAATGCAGTCGACATAATTTTCTTTATATTATATTTATTATAAATTTTAAGCATAGCTTAGATATATGTATATGGCTTTCTGGACGTACATATGTTTACAAATATTTATGTGAGTAAAATTATTATTTACTGCCTGTTAAATGTAGAAAGATATCTAAAAAAAAAGTTTATTGAAATGCATTAAACACTACATAAATGGTACTGTAAATCCCAGGGCTTGCACATCAACTGTGTGATTTGGCCAATCACTAACTTTACCGACACCAGATATTTTTGTATTAATCCCAGCTTAACGTACTGTAATTTTCCTACGGCTTAATCTAACACTTCTGACCGATCATTTGCTGCGCCAGCTGTTCACCTCGGACGATGACGCTGGCGCAGCAATCAATTGCGGATCTTTTAGAAAAACTAAATTAATACTACTTAAATACGCAGACTGCGACGCCTATGGCCAATGTTGAGCCACTCCAGCGGCACGTTGCCGCCCACATTGTAGGTGGTGGGGGTGCAGTTCATCAGCTTCCTGGCTGGCTCGCAGCGGCGACTCACGTTCCAGTAGGCAAAGCCCTGCGGACAGCGGTAGATTTGGCCTTCGATGCGACCCGTCTGCTCCGAGTGTCCGCACTTGACGAACAGCTGGCTGCACTCATCCTCGTTCAGGGCAAAGTGTCCCTCGTCGGGACAAAGTGGAGATGTGGTGCTTATTTGTACCTATTCGTAAAGAAAGAAAAGAAGGCCTCAGTAATATTGTAAAATTGTTTAGGAGAGTGTCGGTGACGTACCATATTCTGACGACGCGTTTGGTCCTCGAACAGGTTGGGGTTAGTCCTCTTCTGACCCTTGTCGCAGGTGTCGCCCGCCTCGGGCTTGCCGCAGCTACACGACTTGTCCTGGTATACTGTTCCATTGGGGCATTGGAACACCACAATGTTCAGGTCGTTGCTGTCCGCGTTCTCACTGCACTGATAGAACATGCCGCAGTTTTCTGGGTGGCGTCGGAAGCCGGTGGGGCAAACGTACAAATTCTGTCCTGGGCCTGTGGTGGGACATGGCTGAGTGCCATTCGAACTAGTTGTTGGGGTAGATGAAGTAGTTGTGATTACTTCCGTCGCTGTGGGTTCAGTTGTTCCAGTAGTTGTTGTGTCAATCGGGGAAGTCGAAGGCGTAGTTTCTGGTTGTGGTGACTGGGTTGTCGTTTCTGGCTTTGGGGACTGGGTTGTTGTTTCTGGCTTTGGTGACTGGGTCGTCGTTTCGGTGGATCCAGTACTGCTCGGTTCAGTGGTCTCCTCCGGGTAGACTGTAGTTGTAGTGGGTGATCCTGTAGTAGAGCTAGAGCAATTTCCCGACACTTGATCCGCGTAGTTACAGGTGTCTGCAGACGTATCCCACACCGTACCGTTGGGGCACTTGAAGCTGTATACTTGATATTTCCCATTCTTGCTGCCATCCACGCAACGATAGTAGTGACTGCAGTCTTCGGGATCAGCAAAGAAGCCCTCTGCGGTGCAGTTGTAGTTTGTTTCGGGCTCTGGCTCCGGAATGTTGGTAGTTGTTGGTTCTGCGGTGGTAGTGGAGGGGTTATAGCCTGGACTAGATGTTGTAGTCGTATCTTCTTGATTTGTAGCAGTTGTTGATTCATTCGAAACATTGGTTGTTTCTGTGGTTGGTTCTGGGGTAGGTTTTGGGGTGGGTTTTTCACTTGCGGTGGTTGTTTCCGGTGTCGGTTTTGTGGTGGGGTTTTCAGTTCCTGTGGTTGTTTCCGGTGTCGGTTTTGTGGTGGGGTTTTCAGTTCCTGTGGTTGTTTCCGGTGTTGGTTTTGTGGTGGGTTTTTCAGTTCCTGTGGTTGTTTCCGGTGTTGGTTTTGTGGTGGGTTTTTCAGTTCCTGTGGTTGTCTCAGGTTCCTTAGGGCTCTCAGTCACCGTACTCTCCGTCTCCGTTGGTCTAGTGGATGTATAAATCGTGGTTGTGGTGGTTGGTGGCTGCGTTGTCGTCGACGGTAACTTTGAGCACCTCGGTATATTCGCCATGTAATCACAAGTCTGGACATCTTCGTTCCATCCCGTACCCTGGGGGCATGTGAAGTTGTACCTTTTGTAGGAGTTGCCAGAGTTTATGCATCGATAGTACTTTCGGCAATCCTCTGGATCAGCCATATAACCCTCGCCCTCACATTCCGTACCAGCTGGCAGCGGCTTCATCGTGGTTGTGGATGGGTTCATCGTGGTAGTTACAGGCTCTGAGGTTTCTGTGCTGCCAGTTGATCCCGATCCCGATCCCGTCGTTGATGTCATAGTTGTGCTGGGTATATCTGTGGTAGTGCTTGACGGGGAAATAGTCGTAGTCGTTATTTCCGTTGTGGTGGAGGGTGTTGTCGGGATCATTGTGGTCGTCGATGGGGTCGATGCTGCGGTCGTTGTTGTCTCGTTTGTCGTCTCACATGGAGGCCTCTCTGCTGTTATTGTGGTATTGCAGTTGTTAAAGTTGTGGTTGCATGTCTGAAGGTCCTGATCCCAGACAGTTCCGGCTCCACATTGGAAGGGTATCTGGGTGAAGCCACCTTTGCCATTGCTAACACAACGATAGAACTTGGAACAGTTGTTAGGATCGGCCATAAATCCTTCGGACCTGCACTGTCCATTGGTGTTGGGGGAGCTCGTCGAAGTTGGTCGAGATGTGGATGAGGATGGAGATGGTTGAGATGTCGTAGGTCGCGATGTGGTAGGTCCGGATGAGGTAGGACGCGATGTGGTAGGACGCGATGTTGAAGGTCGGGACGTGGATGTTGTGGATGATGATGGTCGAGATGTCGTAGGTCGCGATGTGGTAGGTCCCGATGAGGTAGGACGCGATGTGGAAGGTCGGGACGTGGAAGTTGTGGATGATGATGGTCGAGATGTCGAAGGTCGGGCTGTAGAAGTTGAAATTGTGGTTGGTCTTTGTGTCGTCGAAGGTGTCGCGGAGCCACCGCATCCCTTGACTGCCCAAGCATGGTTACAGCTCTGGATTTGAGCATCCCAGACCGTGCCAGGACCGCAAGTGAAGGGAATCATGGTGAAGCCACCTCTGTCGTTATCCACGCAGCGATAAAACTTTGCACAGTTTGTCTGATCCCCAATAAACTGTCCATTTTGTGTGCACGTCTCTGAGGGATTTGATGGGGTGGGGCTAGTGACCACACTAGATGAAGGTGATGATGAGCTGCCGCTACTGCTTGATCCTTGATTAGAACTGCTAGAGGACGATGAAGATGACCCCTGATTGCTATTATTATTACTAGTGGATGAAGAGGTTGTCGATGATGACGTTGAGGATGATGAGGTTGATGATTCATTGCCAGAGGAGGAGCCGCCACTTGATGTGGAACCACTGGTAGAGGAGGAGCCCTGGTTCGACGAGGAACCGCTGTTAGATGTGGAACCTCCCGTTGTTGAAGAGGATGTGGAACTTGTGCTATTGGATGATGTGGTTCCTGTGACCTTTTTGCATTTCATCGGCTGGCTTTGTATTTGACTGGGATGGTTGCAGCTGTTGGCCTCTGGGTCCCAGAGGGTGTTGGGCGGACAGGTGAACGATACCTTCGTGAATCCTCCTTTGCCATTGTCCACGCAGCGGTAGAATTTGGAACAGTTTTCTTTGTCCGCAAGGAATGTTTCCTCACTTTCGCACTTTTCAGCTGGCTTGAACGGTTTCTGAGTTGTCGTTGTAGATGAAGATCCTTCGGTGGATGAGGATGAGCTTTGGTTTGACGTTGATGACTCTGAAGAACTCTGATTAGAGGATGATGATCCCTGAGTGCTGGATTCTGTAGATGAAGAAGAGCTCTGGTTGGAGGAGGAACCCTGGCTTGAAGATGTAGATCCTTGGTTATTGGAAGTTTCGGTTGAGGAAGAAGAACCTTGGTTATTAGCTGACGATGATCCTTGGGTGGAAGACGAAGATCCTTGGTTGGAAGATGAAGATCCCTGGTTGGAAGACGATGATCCCTGGTTCGAAGCCGATGATCCTTGGTTAGAAGATGAGGATCCTTGGTTAGAGGACGAAGATCCCTGGTTGGAAGACGATGATCCCTGGTTGGAAGACGATGATCCTTGGTTAGAAGATGATGATCCTTGGTTAGAGGACGAAGAGCCCTGGTTAGAGGACGATGATCCTTGGTTAGAAGACGAAGATCCTTGGTTGGAAGACGATGATCCTTGGTTAGAAGATGACGATGATCCTTGGCTAGAAGATCCCTGGCTGCTTGATCCTTGATTGGATGAACTTCCACTACCACTTGCCATAGCCCTGCATTGCTCTTTCTGCACATCCGTTGGATGGTTGCAGCCCTTGGTGTCGGGATCCCAAACCGTTCCCGGCGAACAGTCAAAGGGTACCGTGTCGAATCCACCATTACCATTCTCTACACAGCGATAGAATCGTGCGCAATCTGTCTTGTCAGCCAAATATGTTTCCGTATCCTTGCATTCGCCTTCGGGATTCGATGGCTTCGATGTCGAAGTTGCTTGTGTGCTGGAACTTTCAGCGCTTGTGGATGATCCTTGATTGCTGGCAGTGGATGAAGTAGTCGAGCTCTGCTGATTGTTGGAGGTGGACGAGGAAGATGAGCCTTGATTGGCAGATTGATTGCTTGATGAGCCTTGATTGCTGCCTTGAGTGGATGACTGGTTGCTGGATGAGCCTTGATTGCTGGAGGACTGCTGATTGCTGCCTGATGCGGTAGTGCTCTCCTGGCTGCTGCCTGATTGATTATTATTGTTGGAGGAGGAACTGCTGGAACTGCCCGATTGATTGCCGCTCGATGAGGAACTTTGATTGTTGCCAGCGGATTGCTGGCCACTTGTAGAGCCCGATCCTATATTACATTGCTTCTTTTGGTCTTCGCTAGGCAAATCGCAGACTTTCTCCTCTTGGTTCCATACAGTTCCGGGTCCGCAGGTGAATGGCACTTGCTCCAGGTTTCCATTGCCATCTAGACGACATCTGTAGAACTTGTCGCAATCTTTTTGATCTGGTATGTAGGTGTTTTCATCCTCACATTCAGTGGGTACGGGTTTGTTGACGCCTCCTCCTTCGTTGGATGAGCTGTTGGAACCACTGGACGAGCTCTGATTACTGCCAGAACCTTGATTATTGCTGGAGGATTGAGTGCTGCCAGAGCTTTGATTGCTTCCAGAGGTTTGATTATTGTTTGAGCTTTGATTACTGTTCGACGATTGGTTGTTTCCTGAGCTTTGATTGCTGCCAGAGCTTTGGCTACTGCCTGAGCTTTGGTTCTGGTTGTTGCTAGAGCTTCCGTTGGATTGGTTGCTTCCCGAGCTTTGGTTGCTGTTTGAGCTTTGATTCGAGGAGCCCGTGCTCGATTGCTGGTTGCTGCTCGACGTGGACGACTCCTGGTTTGAGCTCGAGCTAGAGCTTGATGTGGATGAACTTTGGGAGGACGAGGAGCTCGTCGATGAGCTCTGCTGGCTGCTGGACATGTTGGACGAAGACGTGGAGTTCTGATGGCTGGACTGCGATGACTGTGTTGATGTTTGGCCTGCATAATACCCGTCGTTCTGGGGCTCGGACTGGGCCTGATTGCGGCACCCGCCATTAGCACGTACATCAAACATATGGTTGCACGACTGTAGGGATTCGTCCCAGGCTGTGCCGTCCGAGCAGCGAAAACCGATTTTATTATAGCCCCTGCCATTCGAGATGCAGCGATAAAACACGGTGCAGTCACTGGGATCACTCATAAATCCATCATCCCGGCACACCACCTCATCGGCCCCCTCCTCCCCCGACACCGCGGCGCGTAAAGATGATGAGCTGGAGCTCGAGAAGGATATGACCGAAACACCACTGAGTCCTGTCAGGCCGTAATTTGTCGGCAGCTGATTTGCCGTCGCATAGGTGCGCAGCTCATTGGCGGCGGGTGTGACGGCACCGTTAAGCAGCGCATTATGGTCATCCTCTTGGCCATCATTGACGAGTCCATCATAGCCATCCGAGCCGTCACCCAGAGCCCCCATGCTGCCGTCAATTTCGTTCAACTGGTCCACGCACTCGTCCCGCCCGGCCATCGTTGGGGGCAGGCACATGCGAAGGGTGCGCGAGAAGACCGTGTTCTCCTTACAAGCGAGCATATACGGCCGGATGTACTGCTCCGTGCGCTGCTCGCAGCGGTAGTAGATGCGGCAGTCATAGTCGTCGGCAAACAGACCCTCGCCCGGACAGTAGAAGGCCACGTCCACGCTTTGGGCCAGCGAGCTCCCATGGATTGATAAAGATGGAATGTCTGTAATAAAAGTCAGGGGATGAACGTTTTAGTTAGCTAAGTTTTCGGAGAGGCTCGATTAAGCGACTAAATTATATACACTGCGAGAAAAAAGTATGCTAAAGAAGAAAACGTATTTCGAGAACACAATTCTAGAAAGTGGAAAGCTTTTTCACCAGTGCAGCGTCTATCGGGCACCAAATTTCGTTTGGCTGCAGAATGAAGGTAGGAAGGTAGATATTTTGAATGCAATTAACTTATCTTGGAAATAATTATTTGTCTTTGACTCTCCACCATTTATATTTTAGTGCGACCTCATAGGAGTCGAGTGTGTACCAGTATCATAACCCTTATAATAGCCTATTTGTAATCGCCCGCTGGAACAAACCATTGAACTGAAACTTCCTGTCACAACTGCTCGCATCTGTAATCATTATTATATATGTACATACATAGGTGCATACATACACATGTATGTAAATATATTTTGCTCAATTTCGTTTGACATTTTGTGTGTGCGCTCGTCTTTCGTTTTTCGTTGCGGGATTTTTAGCGCTGTCAAAATAAAATTGATAATTTATTGTCATTCAATGTGCGAGAGTCCTCTTTTTTGTTGGCTTTGTTTTTATTCGTGCCCCGGCGCTGCCTTCCAATAAATTTAAATGCATTTATGGCCGTTACAGCGGAACAAATTCATTTTGAAAATGAATTGTGGGTGTGTGCGGTGGGGGCCTGGTTTTTTTCGGGATGTTTTCATTCTGCTTTACAGTGGTTTTGCCCGACTCTTTTTGGTAAGTGTTGTGTGGTGCCAGACCGAATTGCTGTTGCGGCATGTAAATCGGGGCTGGAAGAGAGGGGTGTTGTGCTGGGGAAAATTGTAAACGCCTGGCTAAAAATTAGACCGGGTCTAGGCATAAATTTACATCAGTCACAGTCTGATATATTTGATTTCGTTTTTTCTCTCTTCCTCGCATTATTATTAATATTATTATTGGAGCATGTGAGCCTGGCCAATGGTTTATGGCTCAAATGGCCCGGAGCCATATATTCCCGATGAAAATTGCCAAATATAATGGTCATAAAATTTAATTATACCAAATGTGCCTAAGCAGGACCATCGTTAATATTTTTAAGCCAAAGCAATAAGAAGATGAGATGGAGCGATGTTTAAAAACGAATGAAAAATTCTACATTAAACCAAGATGACCTGTGGCCTTTTTGGAGTATTTCTACATTTTGTATTCGCTAAAGACTGCTTAAATTTGAATTTTAAAGCCCCCTTGCAGAGCGGAACCGAAAATCTAGTAAACTAATTTAATAGAACGCTTCACAACACAGGGCCTGGCTGGCTGGCCGGCTGGATGGTTGTTCGTGGGCAAACAAACATAAAGTTTCAATTTGTACACGAAAGCCCAAAAATGCTAAACCCATTACACAGATAGAGGCTGTGGAAGGGAAGGGTGTACGAGTGGGTCTGGAGAGTATCCGTATCCTTGTCGTCGCTCTCCACTTGTTGGGGGAAAATTGACCGTTTTACGATTTTAATTATATATGATGTGTACTTTAGAACTTATGCAAAATGAAATGCAAGGAGAGCGCGGCCATGCGACCACAAACTTATGCGTTGTCCCACTCTGACCCCCCCCCCCAAACCCTCTACCGCCCAGACTTCCAGACCTCCAACACGCGGGGCATGGGTGCAGACAGCTGGGGAGCAGGAGCAGGAGCAGGGCGTAACATGGTTAGCCACAATCTGACCGCAGAGCATGGCCGCAAATAGTTTTGGATATGCCAATGCCACGCACCACCCAACCACCCAACCACCCAACCACCCAACCACCCACCTAGCGCCTAGGGTTGCTGCACTAAAATTTCAATTTTCAACATTTAAGTACGTTACGGTTTACGAAAATTTAGTTATAAAGGCATAACATAACATTTACTCGTACTCGTATTCGGTTCCCCGGTGCTTCCTGCTGTCTGGGACATCTTTTTCGACCTCCGTAGGCACACTGCGACAAATAGTGATTTCCATATACTTTTGCCGTCAATTCTCATTGATAGCTAAATATTTATTGACCGGGTGTTTTGTGTTTGGCCAACTCTCAAGGAGTTTCCTTCGTTTCGGAGCGCGTCGAAACTCCATTTAAATTTTATTTTGATAAATTGTAAACGTTGCGCTGCTCTGTTCTGTTCTGTGGCTGGAAAATCTGCTTAAATGGCCAACTGTAATTAAGTTTCGTTTTCTGTTTCTGGTTCTGTTTATAGTTATTTGTTACCAAGGTTTCTCGGTTCTGCTGCTGACACACAAAATGCCAACTGGGGACATTTTAGTGTTCCATTGGCCCTGGGGGCGGGGATCGGTTGGGGTCGGTTAGTTTGTTGTGAGAAGGCAGGGCAAATGTCGCTTAATTAGTTATTAAAAGTTTCGCCATTATATTTTGTGCTCGATTCAGTTCCTTTTTTTTACCCTCCTGCAGCCGCAGGCATTTTGTGGTTGACGTTGCTTAAAAGCATTTCTATTTTTTAAATTGGTTGACTTTGCAGATGAAAATTTAATCAAGAAGGTGTCTTTTCTTTTCAGCCATTTCTTTTGATCAAATATAATACGGATATATGGGACCATCACAATTCAGCTTATATTTTAAACCGAAAGTATTGATACATTTGAAAAGAGGGCTTATAAAGCATACGAAAAGAATATACAAAACTATAGGTGTGAACATTCCCATCCTGTAGAACCTGTTTGTTGCCGATCAGGATGAATCTCCTTCTCTCTAAACCCTCCGCATTATCCCATAACGGTTTTAACGACTTGATTCTATTACCTTGTCTGAGAGTGAGGGCAAAAACATGATGCAATAAAGATTGCCATTACAAAAAAGTGAAATTCAAATGTCAGTTGGCAGTTTGATATCTGTCCAAGCTTCAGTTGTCGCCGCATCCTTTAATCGGATCTCTCACTCTATCACACCAGCCAGCAGCAGCCAGGACCAGCGAGGACCAGCCAGGACCAGCTACAGCTCTGCTGGCTGGATAATTCCCCGAAGGCTATGTAGTGGCAAGTTGTAAATAGGATATTTGGATTTTTTAGCTGTTCCATCGTCGGGTTGGCAACTCCGTAATTTCATTTGCCTCTGGTGGCATTTGTCCGCTGCCTTCATGCCGGACCACGTACGTGGTGGCCCGGCCCGGATTTCAGTTTCAAGTGCATGTTTATGCCACGCCCAGGTCATTCTGTTTCGCCCCGCCCGAATTTCATGGTGCAAAATGACCAACTACAGGAAATTCAATTTATTATGCAGCCTGACAGTTTTTAGCCATTCTCTCTCTAAGATGACAGCTGCTCCAACGCCAGCTCCAGCCCCAGACCCAGACCCAGCTTCAGCTCCAGCTAGTGCTGCTGCTGCTTCTCCTGCTACGTAATTCTGACAGTTGCAACGAGTAAAAAAAGATGAGTGAACCTTGCGCTAATTTTGGCATCTGTCCGGCTTGGGGTTCTTTCTTTTTTGGACTCATTTTTCTTTTGGCTAAACTGCTTTCGAATGCGATGCGGCAGATGCATTTGAATTTCGCGCTGCGCTGCGCTCGAGCAGATTTTAATATTGGCAACGTCCTTGAAAGCATCGACTGCCGGACCATACCGTACCGGACCGGACCGGACTGGGCAGTCATTACTCATACGCAGCGTGTGACACAATTACCATTTTGCATTATTCATTCCGATGCGGCTTGGCTAGATAAACTTGTTAGAAAACTTGCTGACAGCTGCCATGAAAATCTTAAATATTTAAATTTCCTGTCCGCAGCGTGCCCCCTCCCTCCACCATCGGTCGAACCATCTCGATGGGAATTGCCTTTAACTTGTTGCAATTAAGTTGAATTTGAACTATTTAGAAGCACCAGCACTCATCGTGTTAGGTAGCTGGGAGGAGGCTCCTGGGTACCAAGGAACAGAGACCAGGGCCTGCCCTCGTGCCGGTAAATTAAGCATAAAGCGCTTTTAGTTACAATCACGTTCGTCTCAATTAAACTACATTAAATTGAATTCAATTAGCAGAACCCAGGAACACGAAATGAAAGCAACATTGTCATTACGGTTAGGGGCGCCGATGGCAACGTCTTTTGCCCAGAGCCAAGGAACCAAGGGACTACGGAGTGTGGACTCAGGACCCAGGACCCGAGACTAAAGACGCAAAAATCTAGCGATGGCCTGACTGACAATTGACTTTCATTATTCCCTACATTCCTTGGTGCATTATTGAGGCCTGGCGCTGGGCATATTTGACAGAGACCAGAGACCTGAGACCAAGGAGCTGGCGAGGTCTTACTCCTTTGTGCTGCTCCTGGCTTCTGCCTTCCGTCTTCTGTCTTGGCGTGTTAGTTTGCCTGTGTGTAATTAAGTTTAATATTTAATTTAATTGCATATAGACATACAACTACAGCGGCAATGTGCCTCATAAAAGGACACGCGCTGAGACAATGTTGGCCATTTTGTTACTGCTCACTGAAATTATGATGAAAGCAGTAGCACAAGGCAGAGCCAAAGGCTTTTATACAAGGAGTGGTGGGAGGGAATGGGTTGCCATGGGATGGGATGGCATGGCGTAGGCGGACTCCTTAGCCCGACTCCCCAGAGCCATAAAGGTGAAGGTCAGTGTATAGCTTCCTCGAAACTGGAACGTGCCCGTCTTAGCCAGGTCTTAACTTCGTGAATACTCCCACTCTGTGGGGTTGGCTGTTGGCCAGTTGGTCAGTGACTTGCTTAGTTACTTCATTTTGCGTTGACCTCTTTCTGGGCTGCATTATTATCATTGGAGTTGCCCGACTGCCTTTCTGCCCATGTCCTTGCCATGGGATTATGGCGTGTTAGCAGGTAGTTCGTGGTCCTGCTCTCCATACCGGGGACAGGAGTCGTCGTGTAATGAATTGTGTGTCGGGCAGCCTGATGTTTTGTTTGCTGCTCAATTTGCCAGGACAGTTAATCACATTGCGTGAAAGCTAATGTCATTACGAGCGCTTCGTGCTGCCAACAACATACATATATAAATACCTTGTGTAAAGCATAAATCCCACGCACAATTTTATGTCAATGCCTACGCTACTAATGTCTGTCTTCGAAGACTTACACTGGCTTACTGTTTAGTAAAGTTTTATCAGCAAAGGTCTGCAAAGTTTGCAGTTTAAATAAAGATCAGCGTGGAGAAATGTAAGCGGATACTTAATTAATTATAATTCCAAACCCAAATACTACTTATATTTGAGAAACAATGTCCCTTTCGATTGACATACAGCTTGGTTATAGTTTATTCATTGGCTGTTCCTTTAGAAAGTGGCTCTCTTCTGTCTCTTTTGACACTTTTGCATGGTAAATGAATTGCGGCATTTCAAGTTCCATCAACTTCCACTAACTCAAACAAGTTCCCAATAGCTGTACCTTAAAGGGGCCGAGCCGAGCATATGTGAGAAGAAATTTTACCATGCAAGCCATTGTTTTATCGTATCGAAATAGGGCGCCATGGCCAACCACAGACGCACTCCTATTACCCCCTTAACTGTTTGGCTAGGGCTCCGCAAGACTGCAACAATAGCCGCCAGCCATTGGGCGTATAAAAAGTTACATATGTATGATCCAACTTTCCTTGCCAATTGATGGGAGTTGGGGGTGGGAGTGTGTGTATGGCCCGGGGGTCTTCAATTAATTTCATTTAGAGAGTGGCGCACAAAGATGCTCCCGGCTGTTGCTAAACACACCCAAACAATAGAATATATATGTACACCCGAACACCCAGCCCAGGCCGAGTACACTGCGGCATTCACAATATTTTCAATTAAGCTTGAACAATACCAGAGAAACAATAAGAATTACAACATCTACGAGGAAACCAGAGCGGGAAAGTGCTTTAAAGGCGAGGTCCAGTGCTCGTAAAGGAGTCCGAATCATATAATATGTTTCCTTTGTCTGTGGATATGATAAGGTCATGGAAGTAGAAGAAAATTTAAAACTAGTTTTGACTGTTTTTGAATGTATAACAGTATATTTTACCTAAGGCTTTTCACCAACCATACCACACCCAATCCCAACTAAACTCTAGCTAATTTTGAGCAACCTCTCATCTATCAATCTTACCCACTATCTTACCACCTTTGAGGGCAAGTATGTGTGGTCTGGGGTGTCCCCTGCTAATTAGGGAGTCACATATACACGATCATTTGGTAAATGAATAGCTGACAATGTGTTGAATTTGTTTGAACAGTCAGCAGAGGAGAGGCAAAAGGGAAGTACCACAGCAGGCGTCACTTGATTCGATACTAAATTCTTGTCCATTGGTGTACGTATGGCTGCATATGTTGCTGTTAAGCTTCTGGTTATGGTTATGGCAGACAAAAGTTTTGTATTGCATTAGTTTGGTCAAGGAATAATAATTAAATTCCTTCCAAAGCACTGGCCAGTAGCCACATATTTGCTGGCATCCACTTATCTGCCAGAGGCTCCCATTTCCAGTCCCTCTGACGAGTACAAGCATCTCCAGCTACATCTTACGAATACATTTGGAGAGGGGGGCCCAAATTATTAGTGTGCAATGCAACAATTTCCAATATACAAATTGGCAATCTAATTGCAGTTACAGGTTGTGTGCCCGCACCGCATCTCGAAGTGCAGTGAGGGCAGCACAGCGTAAGTTCAAGTTGAGTTTTGAAAGCTCTCGGTCAACACTCGTCTCTATCAAATATTTATAGCACTCGCCGAGGTCATTAACATTCATTTAGCTGAAAAACAAAGCCATGAATAAGCAATTTAACAATTACAAATGCCTAAGCAGGCCCAGACAAAGGGACGGACCGGACAGGTTCAACTTCCTAAGAAATGCCCCAGTCCAGTGTGTGAAAGACAAAAGACTCGACTCAGACTCGAGCACACTCCGGAAGTGCTTGAGAACAACAGAATAGGAGTCTCCAGGCCACTCCTGTTTCAACTCGGCAATCAAAGAGTCAACAGTTTGCCATAAAAATGCTGGCAACCAGATACGATACATACTGCAATTCAAACTATGCACGTGTTAATTATTTATGCTCGGGTCCTCGGGTCCCCACCCCTACCCCACAGGAGACATTCCACGCCCCAACCCAACCCGATAAATATGTATGTTGGCCAGGCCATAGGGAGCTATCGCCTTGTAAATTCCTTCCACCAAAAAGAGTACCTCGTATAAATTATACAAATTATTATTTAACTTCCAGCTGCACAGGCGACTTGGGTTGCAGTTGCTGTTTTTTACCCTGACATAGGAGAGTATACTCTTTCAAAGAAGTTGGCAAAGCAGTTAAAGAAGCACGTCTTATTGGTACAACATAAATTACTTAAGTGTAGCTGAAAGAGTATCTAATGCTGCGACCGTGAAGCAGGCCTATCCTTGTCCAAGAGTCTGGCGAGTGCTGGTTAAGGCAGAAGTTATGCACAGACAAATCGCTTATTTAGATTAGAGCTGACATCTGTGGAGGGGGAGGCAGAGCCAGAGAAGAAGGTGAGAATGGAGACGGCACGCAGGCGCAGATGCATAGAGGCCTGCTCAACTGGTTGCAAGATCTTCATCCCGTGGCAATTTGCTGTTTCTTCTGGAGTTGTTTGCTCTTCTGCAGTCCGCCCCTGGGGCGTGTCAGCGGTGTTGAACAAAGTGTCTACTTAGGTTAAAGCCTGGGCACTCTGCCGGGGCTCCTGGCTAATGGATGCTCCAGGTAATTGGCACGGGGAGGCAGGCGATCATTTTCAATTAGAGAGCGACCATCTGGGGCGTGAGTTATACGCTGTTGTGGGTAAGACGGTAGCTTGATTTTGATTATACGGATAAGTGGGGTAGAATCATTTATAAAGTCAAATTTAACGAACCAATGACTGGAAGCACTTACAGATTGTTCCTAGATTAGCGTTCGTTATAAATGGGGCTGTATTCAGCAGTGCCTTGGAGTGAGTTTTGGAGTTGTCTAGACTTATGATTGCAAAGGGGAAAACGAAAGCCAAAGGTCTCCGCTACACTTTTACCTGACTGCGCATTTGTCATAATAAAATTAGCATTTGCCAGGGTCAACAGCAGCCAGCCAGAACGGGACGGTGAAACATAGTGCAGGATGGGACAGAGCAGGACCCTGCAGGACAGAGCCCAGAAGCACAGAGGCACTGAGGATGCAACAGAGGCCAACTGGGAATGGCAAAGAGACTTATCAGCGTGTTGACAGACCAACCAACGAAGGAAGCAACCATCGGACCAGGGCCTAGGTTAACGTTTTTCCATTTCTTTGCCTTTGCCATTTAGAATTTTCTTTCGTTGGGCTTGTTCATGTGCCACGCCTTGTTTGGTATTCTAAAACCGTTTCCTGTCTGGCTGATAAACAGGAAAGTACATACACTGTACATAACGTGAACAGATGCTGAAAATAATGCTATTTATGTTGCCCATTCGGTATTCTTAGGTGACAGATTTTAGTTACGGAAAAAGTCAATCTGCTGGTTTGAATTACTATATTTGAAACTAATCTGATTCCGGCTCTATTGAACCAATATATCGGTCTCCTAATTCCATACACGGGTAAATTTTCAGTGTAGCTATCACCATACAAAAAACTAAATGAAATGGCCAATTCAATTTAAACTCTATTACCCGGCAATCGATCTGCAATTCACTTTCCAACTGTTTCCAGAATGGAGGTTATCCTTTAAATGTGCAGCAAAATGTCCAACAAAATGCTTCGAATTCTTCAAATTCTCAACATTGTGAAAATACTTTGATACTGCTGACTCGGCGGAAAGAGTTTTGTATGTAAAGAGAAATCAAATCACGTACAGATTCCGTCCGTGGTCTGGCCAATATCTGCTGACCAATTTCACTCAACTACAACAAATCAAAGAGCAAAATGTTGCTCTCCGAGAGCAGCAGGAGCCAAAGCAGAGAAGGACCCAGGCCCCAGCCCGAGTGCTAAATAAATTGAAAATTCTAAAATTTTAATAAAAATTGTCGCAATATTGCAATAAAATGATTGCATGATTGCTCGCACCTCTTCCTCCGGTCTCTTCCATCCACATTCTGATTCTCAGACCATAGAGGCCGCTCACGTTCCGTTCCCCGAATGCAATTGCATTTTTTCAAACGCCAACTGAAATACTATTTTTGATAAATGTATCTCCACGCTCTTTTCTGTCTCTCCTACCTCCTGGCTGTGGGTTTGTCGCGGTTGTGTGGCAGTTCAGTGGGGGATTTTGTTGCTGCTATCACATGCAGCACACTGTGGGGCAGGGGCAGGGGCAGAGACAGAGGCATCAATGCTCGGTGTGACATTGTTTGTGTGTGATTTTGTAACTGATATTTAAATTGTTCAACTTAGTCAGCGACGTGTTTGTCTGCCTCCCCCCGTCCGTCAGTTATTTTATTTTTTCCTTTTCACAGCCTTTCCATTTTTTTGGTTTTGCCATGTTTTATTCGATTGAGCTGCTGTTTGAGATTAACTTTTTATATAGAATAAAATAAATTGGTGGACAACCAAAATATATGTGTATTTCAGGCTCAGACCATTATATGAGATTGTACATTAAATAAGAATAAGTGAGAGGTGTCTTGTCTCTACAGTAATAATATTTGATTACACACTAGTGCTGGATCTGACGGATATTGGGTATGAAAATTGAATATTTCTTAATGCAAAAGTTTTTCTAATTTAACCTTGCCAACCATAAAACACTCTATATTTTATTGGTTTTTTTAAAGCCACACAAAATATTATTTTAATTGAATTGCCTGCAATTTTTAAAGCGAACTATTATATTAATTGGTAATGTATATGCGCTTGAGGATGTGCACAAAAAAGAGAAACGGAAAGCAATGTTTTTGCGGTGCTCGTTCGATTTTGACAGATACATAATTAGTTTTTGCAGAGAAAAAGGCCGCAGGTGCTGTGGCTGCCACCCACCGTACGTGGGCATTATTTTTGTTTGAATCCCGTAAGAGCTATCTATGAGTGTGGTCTGGGTTGGGTTGGGTATTTTATGGCGGTGGGGAAACGAATGAATTTATATAAATGTTTATGGATATTTACCTCGTGCTGCAGCGGCGCCAATGCAGAGGCTGACGAGCAGCAGGCGGCAGAGCCAACTGGATGTCCTTGTCGCCATTTTGTCGAGCTGCGAGAATGGCGGCATCTTTGGCGCCATTGCGTTTTGCTTTGCCAAAAAAATGTCACAACAACTGCAAAGAGAGTGGCGAGAAATGGTAGAAGTGTTGAGATATTTGCTGGAAATTCGCTGGCAGTCCCTGTACTGCGTGGGGCGTTGCCTCCTTCCGCCAGCCGAGCCGTTTGATTTTTTAAGAGCTTCGAGTGAATTTAATGCACGGCATTTAGTTTCAATTATAGTCTCTACCCACCCATCGTTCAGTCGAGGCAATTTTGCGCGCCATAAAATTCAAATCAATTTCGCTAATTAGCAAAAGTCTCAAGTAATCAGAGAGATACCATGGGGGTCGGGTCCCCTCTCTGGTGCTGGCTGCTAGCTGCTGGCTGCCGTAGTAAAATGAATTACCCCGTCGAGCAGGAAGCCAGCAAAAGCGAGCAGGAAGGTGCAATGCATGAGGAAATGTTCCCTTGTTTCATTCCGCGCCGATGCTGCTCACTTTTTCCATGTGCCTCCTGCTCCTGTTGCTGCTGCTGCTGCTGCTGCTGGGAGGCATCTTCACGCCTCGTTCGGTTTCATTTCCACAATTTCCATGCTCACATCCTTTGTCAGCTAGAGCACTTTCCTTAGCTGGGGGCCATTATCTTCCATTGGCTCGCCCTCGCACCCAAAGCCCATTTAATAAGTTAATTGTTACTACTGTTGCACTTTTGCCGCTTTTGAATTTATGATTAGCCACAACCACCGCAGCGAGAAGCCAAGTACTCAGTTCTGCTCGAGGACTGGGTCTGAAGCCACTTCTAAGACGGTGACTCCGACTCTGACTCCGACTCGGTCCACTTTCCTGTCGCGGCTTGAACGCCTCTGTCTCTGTCTCTGTCTTGGTAAGTTTGCCTTAAGCCCGCACTGACATTCCACATAAACGTCAGCTGTGGTCCTGCTGCGCTCGCTTTATGTAGTCCGACTTTTATGCATTTCTAGTGCTTCGCTTCCTCTCTGATAGAATTCATGGCTGCCAACGACTCGACATAGTCCCGTTTCCCTGCCCCTATCCAATTCCACTCTCTCATCTTGGCCAAATGTCCTCCCAGTCATTATTGTCGTCTGCGTTTTTACTGGCTGTTGCTGCCGCTTTTTCTGCTCCTGCTCCACTGGCTGACTTTGTGTCAACTTCATAATTATAGTTTTCTGTTATTTTCTTATATTTTTTTTTCGACAAAAGTTTCTACTACGAGCAAGTCCCGGCCGGGCGGGCACAGTGGATAAAAGTTGTTGGCCAAGTGTATGTATGAAGTTTCTGGATATTGATTTGGTGTCCAATAAGTTGGTTTATATGATTATTTGTTAACCAAGAGATGATTGCATGACTGCTTGGGGAATTCATAGTACAAGGATTTTTTCTAACTGGCAAACTTTATCAAATTTATTCTTCTCAGAAATTATACATAGTTCATGAACCTATCCCCCCTATCCCTACTATCAATCAAAATAAACTAACTTTGGCATGACTGTACCCCAATGTAACCCACTGTCATTCCAGATACAGTTGCATTATAGAAGCCATACACATAAAGCGGCGGCAAAGATTCTATTAACCCAAGAAATTATGATAAATGAAAACTTATTACGAGAAGTCATTAAGATTCAAAGAATTAAAAACTTAAAAAAGCAAAACTGAAAATGAAGCAAAGTCGCCTTCGACTTTGCCTTTGCCATCGCCATCGCCTAGCTGATGTTGCTGCAGCTTCTTTTTTGCTGTTGCTGCTGCTGCTGCTCCTGTTGCAGCATCATCAACGTTGCTATGCGTTGGGGGATAAGGGTAGCTAGGCGGCTGCCGTACAAAACTGTCGGCGACTTATAACAAAGCTGAGAGGGGGCGGGGGGAGGGCCCCCCCAGACGGAAGGCCTGCGTCAATGGCAGAGCGCTCTTCCTTTTAAGTTTCAACTACTTCGGCGGCAAAGGAAAGTCATAATTGTTAATGGGCTTTCAGCTTCAACGAATTTTTACTGCAAAAATATATCTTTAGAGAGTGCGTAGGTGTATGTATGTGCATACATACATAAAACAGTAAAATTCTGTTTAAGTTTTAATTAGATTTTTAATATTTTCGAATGCGAAATATGACAGGCAGTAAGTTTGATTAAAAAACTTTCACTTTATGCATGATATATGTTGAATCATTTTTTTGTTTATTTTATTTGTATGATTTTTCATACATTTTTTGGTTGTGAGACTTCCGCCTGCCCGCCTGGTTGGTTTAATGAGCTGGCTATTAAGGCGGGGACAGATAGAGAGAGTGAGAGAGTGAGAGAGAGAGAGAGAGAGCAGGCGCATCATCATTACGCAATGTCAGTTGGCACTTTTATCAATGTTTCCTGTCAGTTTCGAGAACTTTGCGCCATGTCACAACGTCACGAGTGTCAGCGCCAGCGATTTTCATATTCACTGTGCATTTTTATCAGCCATTTGCCGACTCATTAAGCCAACGTCAATGCTCTTCTCCCGTCCGTCCGCTGCCTGCCATGTCTGCCCAGGTTTTGGCCCTGGCTTCGGGCCCTGTCTCCGATGGATGTCTGATGGCCTGGCTGCATTTAAAAACGTCACTGCCGATTGAGTTTTACATGCTTTTAATTGACGTCGTCATGTAATGAAATTCAATTTATACTGCACGCCATTAATAGTAATTCATACTGAAGCAATGTAGTTTTTGCCTACCTCCGAGGTAGGGCCACCGTCAGCCCTAGCCCCAGCTCCGCTCATGTCAAGTCGAGCCCTGACATGAATATGCAGCACGTGAGCAGACGGGTCACTAGTCGTCACTAGTGTGAAAGGGTTCAGCACGTACCTAGGTACAGAATCGGCGGGCAGTCGTCTTGGCAGCTCTCGAACAAGACAGAAGAATGCCATAGCACTTTCAAATGGGAAATTCGTAATGCCAGTAGATGGCTGCATGTTTTCGAAATGAAATGGTTCCTCGGAGGATTGGATCTTAGCTTATCTCTTGGCCATTTATGGCCAAAGACTTGTAGACTTGTTAATTGAATTTATTAGCGGTACGTGCAACAATGATTCACCCCTGTTTGTTGGAGCCAGCATGGGGATACCCCAGCTGGTCTGGAAATTTGCATTTAATGACTTGTCCAGTAGTCGGTCAGACACTGGCAAAAATCAAGTTTGGCTTGAGAAATAAAAACGATTAACAGCCACTTACATATAATTTAACGACCATTTTAAAGCCATTATCAGACAGATCTGGATATCTTAAAGTCGCGTGCCACAAAAAACACAAAACAAATATATGTACTTATACGCTCATAATGATGAAGATGGAGCCGAGGGGGAGAGCAGAGTCGGAAAGACAGAACAAAAGTCGAGTGTCACGACTTCAATGAAAATTAAAAATCACAGCATGCATTCAAATTGTGGCCAAAGCATTTTAATTAAAGTCCGTCCGCCAGCGACACAACAATCTAAATTGTTGTTCATTCACCAAAATATTAATTGACTTTTCGGTGGCCGGGTCGAAACATCATTAACGTAAATATAATTACGTGACAATTTGATGGTTTTTCGTCCGCTCTTTGCCGTGCACAAATCACAAATCAAAAAGCAAAAGCAAAATTAATTACACACAGCCCCAGTCCCACTCACAGCGCCAAAACGCCAACAGTATCGGGGCGTGCCGAGCCACCCAAGGGATCAATCAGTCGCAGTCGCAAAAGGTGAACAATAAAACGCTGCATGGCCAAATCCCGTCGACATTTATACAAACATGGCCCAGACCAGGGCGAGTCCACTGTCCGCCATCCGACATCCACCCTTCCGCTGTGTCCAGTCAAGCGAGCAGGCTCAAAAAAAAAAAAGGGTCGTCGACGCTGTTTAACTTTGAAAAATTAAAATCCACTTGGGTCCCCCGAACCACCACCACCAGCAACCACCAGCACATCCCAGCCACGGAAAGTCTCGCATTTTTCAATGGCCAAATAATAAAGTCCCCAAATGTCAGTTGGGAGTTATAATCTGTTTGCCGCTTTTTCACGGTCGCCATTTGACTGCCCAAAGGACACCAGCAGCGGAATCGGGTATATGCTTTTTATGGAGACACTTCTCGCAGTGGAATAGTAGATGAAAAGTTTGATGAGACACTAATTAAAGTCTCAAGGCAGAGAACGTTTTAGACTGGTTTTACATTAATGAGGGTATTTCCAGCTTCGACTTCTGATATATCGTTTAATTTTCTTGTTTTTCTTTTCGTCTGTTTTGGGATCTGGTCTGTGATTTGGTCCCTCCTAGAATGGCGATTAAATGAAACGTAAATTTGCAGCAATTACGCGGGTAAATATGCATTAAAATAAATTTGCATGCAATTATTTTTGGCACATCAAAGCCTCATCAAATTTATCAAATTATCTTGGGTGCCGATTTGTTTGTTATTTTTTTTTTGTTCCACCCCTCCCTCTATATCTGCTGATATCCTAATTGCCAACTAAAACAATTGCAAATTAGTTGACTGACTTTGATGATGTCTGTGTCCCTTCAATGAACCAATTTGTTTTGGGATCCGCTGAGGTGTTAATGCCACAACAACAGAATGCTCGGTGGGAGCATCTCGTTTATCAAGCTGAGGACATAATCTTTGATTTCGGGTTTGTCTCCGTCTCCTCATCGGTTGTAGCATTGTGTTGGCATTTTATGATAAATGGGCCACGAGCTCGGAATTGGGGCGGGTCCTTCGCTTGCCTTTCGCCCTTTGTTTTGCTGGTTTGTCGGATGTAAAGCGGCTTAAAGTTTGATCTGAATGTTTGGTCAAAGAAGTACCCCAGAACCCAAAAGAGAAACATTGTCTTTGCTAACCTAATTTTCAGACTCATCTTTTGCGAGTTGTGTGAGTCATTTGTTATCCCGACTTCTGCAAAAAACCAACAAAAATATATCCTCTCCTCTCAGCTGGTCGAACATGTGCCTCGTTTTAAATAAGCATTTAACATTTTCCCTCTACAGTTGAAACCATTTCCATACCCTGCCGAAGGATATTATGAGC